TTTTTACACGGAACCAGGACAGTCACTGCTAGAGCTTGTGTACACACGGGGGAAGGGGGTATGATGAAAACAGGGAAAATATAGAGTTTTATTATGCTTTTATACATTCTAGACATATAAGATATTCCATATTCTTGCCAAGACAAGAAGGGAAAAGGAGACAAAAGCAATGGATACAAGAAAAACCTGTCAGAAAAAAAGTCCCTCTAACTCTCTCTATGTTTGCCATTTCATTAAGAGACATCTTGGGAATGTGGAATCCCAAAAGTGAACAGTATAAGAAGAGACAAATTATTTTTTAAAAGGTTGATGAGGAATTTTCTTCCATGATAACACAGATCATCTGTGCTGTTGTTGGCAGGTGCTTATTTAATAAGATGTTATTTAAAGGTCCTGTACAGAAATCTATGTATGCAATTTTGTGACCCCAGCTATAATATTTCCTTGGCTTTTAGCAACCCTTCTCAGTCTGGTGAATGACGTAGAAGAGATGAGGGATTAATATCCAAGGTCGATCTGAAACTTCGTAGATAAACACAATTTTTCCCTTTTCCCCTTTCTTTTTCTCATTAAATCTGAATGGTGCTTTAGTAAAGACAATAAAGGAACTAAGAGTTTAAATTCAAAAATATGTTTTTAAAACCTTTTGTGTCTTCAGTAAGAGAGCAGTTCAAATGAAAATGCTGGGTGTTTTTATAATTTTTGTTGTTTTCATACAGGGTCTTGGTATTTTGAGAAGGGCTGTGACAGGTATAAGACTCATCAGAGAACTGCGGGTTTGTGTTTATTTTGCAGCAGCTGATGCACTTAACCTCTCTGTATGCACAATTACACCTGAAATTTAAAATCTTTTCACTGGTTATTCATACAGAAACAATATGGATAACACAGCCAAAGCAGAGATGCCTTTTGACTTATCTGAAGATACTGAGAGTCAGCTTTCAGCCAGCAGATCACATTGTTGAGAAAGAAATGTAAGGCCGAGAGAAGTACTGCACATAGAAATATTGAAATAAAATTTGTCACTGCTAAGAATCGTGTTCATATGCCTGAATCAGCAGGGCAGTACCTGTATGTTCCCACTAGGCTCAAAAAAGGCATTTTTTATCCAAGGACCTTTCCACCAAAGAAATGAAATCTTGCCTTCTTTCAGTTCCCCACATCAGCTCTCCCCAGGGAGTTACTAGCAGGGATAAAGATCAGGCAGAGAGTTCTGGAAAGTTATTACTGCTTTTTTGGTGGTAGCTTTTTCATCAGATTTGTTCCTTAGTCCTAACAGGAAGAGACTAAAGCACGAATTGACTGAAAAAGTCTGAAAGTCTGCATGAACACAATACTTAAAATGCTGTCTCAACATGGTTTTCTTCACTTAATGCATATCAGCCATTCCAGAGTTAATCTTTTAACTTGGATTAATCACTTAATAGCACGTATTAATAACTTTAACTGGCACTGTAGAATATAATCCCTAGGTTCTGTAAGAAAGTTCCTCTGAGCAGCATTGCCAAAATAAATTAGCATGATTTATTTTTAATTTGCATTTCAAAATTTTATCAATAACAGTTATTTTAAGAATTTAATTTTCTTTTAATATCTGTGACCTCTCATCATGTTCCCACTTTATCTGAGGCTAAATTATTCTTCCTATTTGATAGGTTCTTTACTAGACCAAGTTAAAGCAGCTGAAGAATAGTTACCAGTAAGATTTTAAATTTATTTAGTTGTAAAAAGTAAATGTCCCAATAAAGCTTTGCTGTTGTTCCTTTGTCACACTAGCAGAAGGGATATGATCCTTACGAAAAACTGCAAACTGCTCCCAGCATTATCAGGAAGATAGGAAGATTTATGTAGTTCAAATTCTGATAGCTGGCTCCAGAAAAGGGGAATTCTGGCAACTTTTGGTTTAATTTTATGGAATCATAATGTCAGAAAGGAGAAAATACAGTTATAAAGAGAGAACCACATGAACTATAGAATTCAAGTCATTTACTGATACTTTGTCAGCTACTAGTCCAGGATATTTTATTTTACATCTCAGTGTGATGATATTAGATCACCACAGTCTTCAGATGGAAATGTGGTTTAGTCATCTGTTGAACACTGAACAATGAAGAATTTCTCAACTGTTACTGCCCTTAAGGAAGTACCTGTGGAACAGAAATTTGTTAGTTTGTCCATTATGTACGTTTTCTGTGTTCACTCTTCAATATATTTCCTAAGTATTTTGTATTCTGTATTGACAGTGTAGTGTACATTGGCACACTGTTCTATACTTACTATGTTCGCTGTTATCTGAGCATCTCAAAACTTTAAGCACTGACCCTTGCAATGTATCTTGTGAAGTGTTACAATTTCAAATAGACAAACAGATACTCAGAAAATGTGGACGATTCATTCCAAATTATGTATCAAAGGTTACAGCTGATGAAAAATCTGTTTTTCACACTAATGGAGCCTCTCCAAACACTGTGTTCCTTTTGTTGTATGAGATTGGGAATTGTTGAATGAAGAACTCTTGCAATTGATTTAATGACACTATCATTCCTATACCTCAGGACTTTCTCTTCTTGTTAGGTTACATAAGATCACGTCCAGTTGTATAGATTTTGTATTTCATTGTATATTTTGTATACATATCATGGTACAGACTGACTTTTAGTTTATAATACAGTACCTTGCTTATAAATGTAAAGATCAGACAGATTGCAGATAACTTCATTTTTCTCTACTTATCTTCCCAAACATTTCTAAATTGCTATATTTTAAAAACTAGCTTTAAAATTGCTCAGCATGACAGCAATGTCTTGTAGAAGGAGCTGGATTTTTTTTTTCCTTTTTTTTTGTGGATTTTTTTAAACGCTTTAAAAGTTCTTCCTGTGAACGTAAATGTTCACACTTATACACATTATGTGACTCACTTTCTCTCATGTGCCTCCATTTTCCCTCAACTTGAAGCTTTCATTTTACACATTCTTAAAGTATGGAAATTGCTGTTCTGCAACAAAGCTCAGATAACTAGAGTGGGTCAGTCCACTGTCACTCATGCCACTAGTTCCTAAAACTCAGTCCCCAGACTAGATTTGGGACCATTTTACCTCCATTTAATTGTGTAAAATTAAAACTGTGGAAGACTGATGTAACTTACCATTGTAGACAAGTGGGGAAAAAAAAGAAATTTACTCTGCCCTTGAATCTGGTTCAGCAGATATATACAGACAAGGGAGGAGTAAATAAGTTCCAGAGATGCTTGCATCTGTGTTTTACAGAGGGAGTGAAGTTGCCTCACTTCTAGATGTCTAGATGAAAATAAGATGGATACCACCTTTAGTATTTCTCCCATGAATAAGAAACTTTTGGTTATACTACTGTGTGCTTACTTTTGTATCATAGTAGGAGAGAAAAAAAATTATTATCTTTTAGTATTTCAGCAGTATTTAGTTGTGTTCCTAGTGTTCAGTTTCCCATTTAAAATATACTTCTGCTTACTTCAAGTTCTTTTCTTACAGCTTGCTTCCTCTATGGAATTAAATATATCTAGATAATATAGTCTAAAAAGAAAGTATCTTTATTTCGGTTTTGTGCAATGCTTTCCCCCATGTCAACCCTATAATTTTATGCAATTTATCTTATCACATGCTGGATTTGATACTCAGTTTGATTCTTCATTTTTAGATCTTCTTTTCTCTATTCTAACCTCATAATTTTAAAGTAATTAGAAAGCCAAGTAGAGTGAAGCTTATGAACATGCTGCAGAGCTGTCAATGTAGGTGAATGTTTATTGTGTGTTAGATGTATCAAAACTTAAAATGGAAAGTACTAGATATTTTCAGGTGGGTGTATTACTATGCTTATAGATAAGCAACACATTTCTGTACACTGAAGGAATTATGTGCCATAAGATTTCTATGCATCACAGAATAGAAGTACCTGAAGATTCTTTGTAGCTAAAACTTCATTTTTTACCCAGATCAATATTTTAATCTATTTTCCAATAATTTATCAATTTATTATTTAATTAATTTTGATATTATCTATTTATTAATTCATTATTTATTATTTTTAAAAAAAATATTTCTATTTTATTATTTTTACTATCTTTTTTTTCAAGTAGTCCGGAAGCTTTCCTAAAACATAAATTCTGATTTTGAATAATACTTCTAATACCTCTCCCTTTGAATATACTTATCATATCTGTGCTTATGTTCTTATTTTTCATAGACTAAAAATGCACTAATTATTTACACAAGTGGATGAATGTAGCTTTGAGACTTACTTCTTAGGATACGATGTAAAATGTTAAATATACACAGATAGACTTGAGCCCTCTTTTCCTTTTTTTTTTTTTCCCTCTCTGTATCACTGTGTATTTGCAGAATGCTGTTATTAGAGTGCTACTGTGTATTTTTAGGAATTCAGGTTTATTGTAGTTAAGAATACGCTTTTAATGTTTTGAAGGAACTGCATGTGAAAGAATTGTTATACCTGATTCTGAAAAAGCATCAACATTAGCTATCATATTGCATGCTGAAAACTAAATTAGAATAATGCTATAAAGCATCCCTTACAATAGAATTGTGCTCTGAAAAACAGGATAAAATATTTTTGGTTTATTCAATTTTCAAGTTCTGTTGCATAAATATGATGCTATTTTTAAGCTAAAAGTGATAAATAGGTCAATAGCATGTTTCCCAGGTAAAAATGTTATGCGCTTTTTTTTTTCTCAGTTCATACTGACTTAATGTATACTGTTAGTATATTTAGATGTGATAGCTAGGTAATTAATTTTTAGTTTAACAAAAGAACAACACGTTCTTTCATTACAGTTGTTTTAAATTAGAAGAGTGTCCTAACCACAAGCCATGTGTATGTCCATGTAGAAAAAAGTTGGGAAAGAGATCATGTTCACTATTTTGAAGCCAAGTCTGTCCCACTCTCCTCCTAAGGGGCCTGTCAGGATGCATTCTAATACAGGCTAACCAGTGCTGTGATGTGGAGAGTTCTTGTAGATGGCAACAGGTGCATCTTAGATAAAAATCCAGTCCACTTTTAAATTTGAAAAAATTGATGGATGACTTTGTAGTGAGGCATTCAATAGCTTTCTCAGTCTTTGAATCAAAAAGAGATCAAATAATATATTCCTTTTTTTCACAAAATGGTTGGGAAAAGCAAATAAGATGTTAAAGGTTTAAAAACATAATAGAAATATGGCAGCTATTTTCAGATTTTACTCTTAGGGGGGATTATTTTTTTTCTGAAATGTTTGTCCTTGCCCGTACTCTGAGAGAATTTTAATTCTTAGTACCCTCTGCTGCGATTTATCTATATGCTTGTCAAAACACGTTAAGTCAGTGCCACTTGGCAAAACTTGTGTTAATTTGTTGATTCTTTTCTTCCTTCAGCTAGTGTACTAGGTTTTAGGATGATATCATTACTTACTGAGGAAGACAACCTCTTTGATGACAGCGAACGGGGTTTGAAGTAGAGACTAGCACTTAGGAAATTTACCTCCTCTGGTAAAGCTATGATAAATTACAACGTGAGAAGTTATATCTGCTAAAATCTAGTATCTTAGTTTCTGTCTAAATAACTATAAAACTAGACAGGAAATCTATCTGGAAATATCCAGTACCCCACAAATTTGTAGACTAAACATAGATGTTCATCAAATTGTATTCATTCCACTTAAGTAACACAAATTATCAAATGACTGTACCATATATTTTCTGAGCTTCAAAAATTACTCGGTTATCATGCTGATGTTAATTATGTATGCATGTAATACAATAGGTAAGTGGCTTTGGCAGACTTGTTTTAATGAACAGTATGTCATGCTTACCTGCTCACGTTTCTAAATCCATATTTAGCTCAAGTTCAATGAAACAAATTGGTGAATACCTGTGACACCTAACTGGCACATGAATGCTGACAGAACACATATATACTTAAATGTTTTTTCAGCACCAGAATTGCTGGAACTTTTAGTGTTCTTTCCCAACCTATGATGTATATCTTCCCCAAGGATAAGATAGCCTTTGTATTTAAAAGTTATATTTTGCCATGTAATGGATAGAGATCTTTCTTGTCATTTATCATATTCATGTTAAAAAAAAAAAACCAAAACAAACAACAACCACACCAAAAAAAAACACACACACAAAAAAGGCACCCAAACTTCAGTGTTGTTAGGGTTTAAGGTGTTCAATGCAATCTCCAAAGGTTTCAAGTCATAAAAACTAGCAATGAAATTCATCATATCATGCAGTGCCCCAAAACTATTTCATGATTTGTAAAAATAAGCAAGTTTTCCCACTGTAGTGTTAATGACAAATAAGAAAACAATCTTTGATTAGAACAAATGAGGGGATCACTCGGATTTTACTTTTTTCTTTGTGTGTCTTTCAGGCATAGTACTTTGAAAAGAGTACTTAATTTTTTAACAGATGAATGCCAGTTACTACTTTTCAGGAGACAAGATGAAAAAGGAGTCCTGCTTGCCAAACATAACAGTGCAAGTTCTGTAGCTAGTGTACTTGCAAACTTACCTTAATTGGTACCTGAAAAAATATGTAATGTGTCTTTGTTATATTTTGATTTTCAAGATTGAGGTTTGTTTCCTTCTTAAGAGTGGTGCCATTTGACTTATTGTACTCATGCAGGGTTTGTGAGCGTGAAGCTGCACTGGAATCAGCCCTAAGAATGTTGCAGCAGTTCTATCTGGATCTCGAGAAGTTCCTTGCTTGGCTTACAGAAGCTGAAACAACTGCAAATGTCCTGCAGGATGCTACACACAAAGAAAAGATACTTGAGGATACCAAAACAGTTCGGGAGCTCATGAAACAGTGGCAGGTAAGTCAAGCACTTCAGTTTAGAGACATGTGAAATATCCAGAATGGTGGTTTTGGTTTTGGTTTTCTGGTCTGCAGCTACTCAAAACCCCAGAAATTGTTTCAAAAAAGAGAACTGGTTCTACTACTGAGCTTTAAGTGTTGCTTTTGGAATTGTTGCATGGATCTAATGTGAGTCACGTTATGATTCTGCCTGACATCTTTCAGCATATGATACATTTGAAAAAGTGTCTTGAAGTACAGCTTTAAAATGTACAGAAAGGAAACTTTGCTGAAATTGATGTTTAGATATTTTAATCGCACAAAAAATGTATTACTCTACCAAGCTACAGTCTTGAATTGAGCACTTGACAGACATGGGAGCTTATAAACATTTCTGATATTTATAGAAATGATATAAAATGCATCACGTTTATTCTTTCTAGCTTAACTGAATTAGTTTTCCTGCGCTACTTTCAAATAGATGACAGATATTCATTTGATATTTGGCTGGTTATTGTCAACATGCCCTCTTGCAACAATTAAAAGAGATGATTAAAATTGTCATAGTTAATGTCTGAACAGCTTTCAGACAGTTGTTTTTCTCTGGAAACAAACAAAAATCATCTTTAAAATGAGACAGAATGTTGTGGTTAGTGTTCTGGAGAGCCTTGAGGAAAAAGAAAAATTAGTTAAGATGGTGTTGTTGAAATACTTTTAAATTAAAAGGCACGGAAAATCTGTATGCCTTAATTTACTTATGGAAAGCATACTGTGAAAAACTGTAGTTATAAGTGATTATGTTAAGTACATTGGATGGGAATACTACTACCTTCTTTTGGCACTAGTGTGTTAATATATTACTTTAACTGTTTAATTGAATTGCTGCTATATTCCATTACATTATACTTTGAAATCTGCTGTTGTTGCACTGGACAAAAGTGAAGTCTGAACCACATCTTTAATAGTGATATGTCTTTATGCTAATTTGACTTTATAGTACTATAGCTTAAGTCCTCATGTGTTTCTGAATTCAGCTGCATGATCCTGGGTAGCAAGTATGAATGAAAGGACTGAGTAGTTAATTTTCAATATAGGCTATATTTTTTTTTATGCTCTAGGGTAGGATTTTGGTTGTAATCATGCTAAAATAATTGTATTATCAAGTATTTGCAGCAGTTGTGCTTGATGTGATCACTGAAAACTGGATTGTTTGGCAAAATAGAGATACCTAAATATTTAGGTCAAATGCTTTGTTTTCAGTTGTAATGGAGCTTTGTAGACTTTATTATCTTTTCAGCTAGCAGCTTAAGTTTTTTTTAATTTCTACATAAGAACCATTCAGAGCTATAGAGGTGAGGAAAACTAAATGCACACAAGTCTTTCCCTTCATAAATAATGAAGTACGTAAGAATTTCCATCATGTGATCCATTGTTTTGAACTGTAAGCTCTCTACTAAAGATATTTTTGCACTTCAGTTGAGATATAAGATTAATTTTTCAATTCCTTTTTCCAGGTTTTTGGTATTTAAATACCAGATCTAAAGCAGGAAGGGTAAAAACTCTTTAGAGTCTCTGTTTCACTTCCAGAAAGCAAACATCATTCTGTTCACTAATCTTGGCTGTACAAAAGCAAATGTTCTTGCATCTTAAGAAGAAAAATTAGTATGCAGAGGCAAAACCAGTGTTGTTTTCTTGTCTTTTGGTCCAAATTGACTCATGCATACCTGCCCACAAACAGCACAGTAATTTTATACTTCAGTTAGAGCTGATGATTGCAGGAGGAAATACTTTGATAGTGCAGTTTATTGGCTTTTTTTTTGTTTGCATGCTGATCTGTTTCTACATAGAGTGACTTGGTTTTCTTTCTGGGGCTATTGCTGCTTCTGTCAGTCCCTTTACACCATTTTTGAGCCTCCAAAAGAAATCTCATAGTATAACAAGCACAAGTGGATTTTCAAATGCCCCTCTGTGGAAGGGAGTCTGATAATCTGTAGAGATGTCTTTCTTTTTTTCTTTTTTTTTTTTTTTTTCCCTCAAGGAGAAGAGAAAAAACAGCAAATGTTTTCAGGTCAGGAAAGTTAACTGTAAATTATCTGAACCAAGCACTGCATTTGTTTACTTGGTAATGCAAGGTGTTAATATCTGTGAAGCTGTTGTAACTGCAGGTTTTTCTGGAGACTGTATTATTCTCAAGCGATAAATTATGCTTTTGTAGCAATTAAACATTACTAGAAAGACACATGTACAAATGAAAACAAAACTTGCATAAACTTCTGTTTCTCCACTAGTACCTGATAGATTTTGCTGGTGCTGTGTGAGTTTCATACGAATTGAACAGACAATGCCAGTAAAAGTCATCTGGAAAGGGAATACATTAGTGGAGGCTATGGCTACAGATAACATTAGCAAGTCAAATATGTCCTTAATCCTTCTTTGATACTGAGCCAGCTATAAGCAAAAAGCCATATCCATATTTAGGAACTGTTCTACAGCTTACAAAATCAAATACTATGCTATGGTTCTTCTTATGTAAAAGATAAATAATTTGAATGACATAAGTAAACTATTTAAAACAAAACAAAAAGCAGCAATTTAATATAATAGTCTTGAGAGTACTTAGCTGTAAAATTCATTTATCAAGATGAGTAATATTTGTAATATTAGCTATTGCATTGTGTCATAACACAGTGCTCCGTATCAATAGTCTTCATTGTAAAAGCTTTCTGTCTAAATAGGTACAGTTTCCTGGTGGTGCAAATATTGCTCATCTGTGTTGCCACAAAACTGGATAATGGAGCAAATATTAAGGACTTTTGCTTCTTAAAGAACAATTTTGTCAATAAAACAGTTTTATTGATGACAGCTTAATGGTCAGGAGAGAGAGTATGGATTTACTTCTGTTCCTCAGTTATTGCTGCATTGATTTGTCCAGTCTTCATAGTCTGCTTGCAAGAGATCTCTCTCACAATTCACTTTGATACATAAGGATGAAAAGTAAGAATGTGACAAAAGTGTGGCCATTTATGCACAGCTGTTGTATATAAAAGATTCAAAAAAAAGTGCTTCAGTAAATCAGTGATATCTCAGAAATATGCATTTATGTACTTTGTGGAATAGGGTTATTGCTCACTAATCCATATCATCTGCCTCATAAAACATAAATAGTGATAAGCTTTATTTTTTACTCTGTCCTGTGGACCAGAAATGCCCTTACCTTATGAAACACATCACTAATTTACTTGTAACCCGAGAAATTTGCTATGACAATTGTACAAGTATAAACCCAGACACATAATCTATGTCCTTAGTATGTTTTTTAACATCCAGTATATGTAGTATAACCACAAGCCACAGCATAGAAAATATCCTAAATGCTTTCAGTCAGGATTACAGTTTTCCAAATGACTTGGGTTTTTTCCATGTAGTCTTTTTTTTTTTTTCCCCTTTCATCAGCCAGGCTGAATCCAAATCCTAGGAAGTAGAACAAAACGGTAATTTCTGATTAAAGATCCCTGTCACAAGTGTTCTGAAAGGAACTTCAACTACCTAGGTTTATAGAGCTCATAGAAGTTACGGTTGCTGTGTCCAACTCTGGGACACCCAGCATAAGAATGCTGTGAACCTGCTTGAGTCTACAGGAGGGACACAAAGATAATCAGAGGGCTGGAACACCTCTCCTGTGAGGACAAGCTGAGAGGGTTGGGAGGAGAGGAGACCTTATAGTAGCCTTCCAGGACTTAAAGAGAGTCTACAGGAAAGATAGGGAGGCACTTTTTATCAGGGAGTATAGTGATAGGACAAGGGGTAACAGCTTCAGACTGAGAGAGGGTAGGTTTAGATTAGCTGTAAGGAAGAAATTCTCCACTATGAGGGTGGTAAGAGTGAAATGGGTTGCCCAGGGAAGTTGTGGATGCTCTATTACTGGTAGTGTTAAAGGCCAGGTTGTATGGGGCTTTGAGCAATCTATTCTAGTAGAAGATGTTTCTGCCCATGGCAGGGGGGTTGGAACTAAATTACATTTAAGGTACCTTCCAACTCAAACCATTCTACGATTCTATGACATGGACTTAGATCTGCAGTTTCTCTTTTGTTCTTTATGCAGTTGCATGGACTTGGATAGTGTGAAAATACTTATTAGGAGTCCTGAAATGTGATTCTGTTTTAATCTGCTATTATTAGGTAATAGGTATAAAGAAGTATTTTGATAAAAACATTGCTACACAAATAATGAAAAACCTAAATTTCTGCGTTCAGTAGTTTCTTTATCTCCTTGTCACTAAAAATGTTTATCTTGCCTTTAGTGATCCAGCTTTTTTCTGCTTCACATTGAATCTTGAATTTATTTTTTAAACTAGGAAAATACTATTATGCTGTGCAGAAAGTGTTTTACATAGCAGAAGTTGTATGTCTAGGAAAATCTCACATTTTTAGGTGTTTCTTTTGCTTTTCATGTTCAGAGAACATTAGCTCAAGTGCAGTAATAAAGATTAATCTTCCCCTAGTACTTAGCCATTCATTCAGTAGGAGGAGGAGAAGGGTGAGACTTCCATAACTGCACATTCTAAATACCTCATGATGTAATTATACTAAACCATTGCATTATAAACACACCATTTGTTTATCTAAGCATCTATTTGCAGCATCGTTTGTCTGAATGACAGCAATGCAATAGTTGAGTTGACTCAGTTAGAGTACTTTCTGGGGGATTTTCGAGGGTACAAACCAGTTACTCCAAGGAGTCGTGTAATCATGTGCTGCATTTTATTGTATAGCTGAAATATATCATGTGTCCCCATGAGGGTTGGTTTGATAAGTAAACATATGAGGGAGAGGAAAATAATTACATTTTCTCCTTTTCTAATTCTGGTGATATGAATTCTTAGCTGTGTTAATTACTTCTTGGGTTTGTCTTTTTAGCAATAATTGTGTGTCATATTTTATACAGCTCATGTAATATTAGATATCATTTTGAAGCTAGTGTGGATTTATTCTGTTATTTTATTAATGCAGTTGTTTAAT